GTGGAATTGTAAAGCGCTTTGGGTGCCTTGAAAAGCGCTATATAAATCCAATCCATTATTTCATGTAATTACATTCAAATATTATTTTCTACATTTGTGTGATATAGTGAAGAGGATCCACAAGGACTTCACAAGATGCAAAAACAGACATTTTGTTTAGAAACTGATTCCATGAGCCAAATTTAATATCAAAACATTGAAATAGAAACTAAAAAAAAATCTGTGTCACAAAAAAGGCGCTTATGAAATAAGAGGCCAAAAGGGCAGGAGCTTGAGCGGTGCCTGGAGTGTATTTGTGCGCTCCCAGTGCAGAATACAGAGTACCTACAGGAAACATGATGTGTGTAATTTCTGTTATCATATTGAAGAACAACTTGACCCTAAACAGTTCAGTAATAACCTCAATCCAGTCTGAACTAATTCTGGTTTAGTTTGGTTCAAGTTATTATTAAGTTTGAATATTGATTTAGGATACAGTTTCATGCACTCTGTGCAAGCCAGTTAACAGTAATTTTATAGATTAGATAAAAGTATGAATAAAAAACTACAACAACATCGCCATTGTCTGTCAGACTCCAAACCACATTACATCAGCTTGTATTTTAGCCTTAATCCCTCCCTCCGCTCCCTCATGTTGCCATGGCAAACCATCACCTGACAGCTGGATGGGGGTCAGGCTGTTCAGTTTGATGAGACAGAATAATCGGGTGTTATTCAATCAAATTCAAACTTTGTGTTTGAATCAGGTTTACTTGTTTCTCTTGTGACTGTAAATGAAATATCTTTGGTGAAAACACTGACTGGTTATCCTACATCACCAATATTTGTGACGTTTTGACTGACAGTGACTGATGCTTTATTGTGAAAGTGTGAAAATACTGCTAAATGCAGTGTGTCGCATACACAGCTTATCATTATCCTTTTCTACTCCTTTCAACATAAAACATTATAATGTTTGTTACTACTATATCTGAACCCAGCGTTTATGTGACATTCAGACAGTGTTTTCTCGTGCTTTAACACCACAAAACTCTATGGTAACCATGTTATTAATATATGGCAGGTGACTCACCATGACGACAGAGCTAGGTGAAGCCCAGCCCACAGAGGCGGAGTCTTTCCCTGAAGCTGCCAACCACTCCACACCGAAACAGGTAAAAACACAAAGGATAGAAGGATCAGTAAACATCATGAGATCAATGCTGCTGTGACATCACTTCCTACTTCCTTAGGGTGAGAAGGGTGGTGTGTCCCAAGCTCAGAGCTCCTTGGCAGAGGACTCAGCCAGTAACCTGTCGTCAAGCAGCTGGATTGCTCGCTCTCCTGCTAGAAACTCACTGAGCTTTAGAAGAATGCAGGCCAGTGTGACCCTGCTGGATGGCTCCATGTTCACCTGCACCGTGGAGGTGAGATGGCTTGTTCATGTAAAGGGGGATGGAAATGAGGAAAACGTGAAGACAGATGGAGTACCGATAAAAGATATAAATCACAATCAGGAGGGAGATAGCCCAAAATGACAAACAGTAAAATCACCGACCCATTTCTGTCTGTGCTTAGAAACAAGCTCGAGGTCTGCAGCTGTTTGAGAAGGTTTGTGAACACATAAACCTGCTAGAGAGAGACTACTTCGCTTTGTCCTTCAGAGATGCTGACAATAACAAGGTACCTGTCCACCCGCCCATCTGTTTACTGTCTTCCACCTGTCTTTCTAACCTCTGACCTTTTCATTGTAGAACTGGTTGGATCCAGGAAAGGAGATGAAGAAGCAGGTCAGAGGTCAGTATGGTCCCACAGCAAGTTCGGCAGGTTAACCCTGTGCGTTGTACAACTCATCGCTGTCTGTCTCACAGGCGTTCCCTGGAACTTCTCTTTTAATGTGAAGTTTTACCCTCCTGATCCTGCACAGCTGTCTGAGGACATCACCAGGTAGGCTCACACACCTGTCAATCAGAGCTTTATAGTGCATGTCTCACTTGTTTCCATGTATGATGACGCTGATAATTTTTTCTGCCTTCAGGTACTTCCTGTGTCTCCAGCTCAGACAGGATATAGTTTCTGGTCGTCTTCCTTGTTCGTTTGCAACTCACACCATCCTCGGCTCCTACACAGTCCAATCAGAGCTTGGAGACTATGATCCCGGTACTCACTCTGCCCTATTATACTACTGTGACCTCTCTGTCCACATTTCTCTCTCACTCTGACCGCTCGTTCGTCTGTTTACATATTTCAGATGACTGTGGTGCCGACTACATCAGTGAATTGTGCTTTGCTCCGAATCAAACTAAAGAAATGGAAGAGAAGATCACAGAGCTGCACAAATCCTACAGGTTTGTCACTGCACATATTTTTTTCTAAACGGTGTCAATATTCAGAGCAGCAACATTTTTTAAGTGTATGACTGTGTTTTTAGAGGAATGACTCCAGCTGAAGCAGAGATGCATTTCCTGGAAAATGTAAAGAAACTTTCCATGTACGGAGTTGACCTCCATCATGCAAAGGTAAAGACACTTATTTAAAAAATAGCAACAACTTAGTTTCTACCCTAAATCATCACAATAGTGATCGGTAATCTATACCAAACCTGCATGTTTCCACCTGCACACAGATAAAATTGAGGCATTATAAATACTTAGTAATGTTGCAAGTCATAGATAGTTCAGGCAGCTACCAGTTATTTAGTATTTGTGTGACAAGGACTAGCTATGCATCATGAAGCATTTACAAATGAAATGGAACGACTCCAGCAGTTCATAAATACACAAGTGTCAACATTATATTCTTAATAGATGTTGTAGTGATACAGCAATTCATGATTCGTCAGGTCTTTAGAAAGCATTTTCTTAAAGGGTGAGGCTGTCACGAGGG